TAAAGTCTAGATACGTGGATTGGCCCATTTTCCCTCGGCTTCTTCAGGCCTACACAGAAAGCTCTCCACTCACTCCCCTTGCTGGCCCAGGCTCCTGATGCCTCTCTGCCTGCAGGAGGTCCTTGGGGCGAGATGTTGAGCCCTGGTGTGACTAAGGTGCTTGGGTCTAACCGGTGACATCCAGGACAGGGTCTGGGCACTCAGTAAGCTCCTTCTTTGCAGGGGTGGGGTGGGATTCGACTTTCTTCAAGTCGCATCTGATCATGGGGAAAAACACGGGGTATTTAGAGAGTGGGACAGGAAGAAAAATCTATCATCTGAATCTCGTCAGTTGATCCCTACGAAGGCCCTTCCCTTTTCTTATTGTCCTTTTGTGTTTTGACTTCCGTCTTGATGAGGTCATGCTGTGTCCACCAGAACAACATTTTAGCCAAACCTTTGTCCCAGTCCTGGTTTGCTCCGGCACGTGTTGTGCTAGGCAGTAGTGAACCGGAACAGGAGAGGATCAGGCCACGGTCCCTGCAGAATTGCAACCTCAGGAGTGGACAGTAGTGTAGAATTGTATCCTCAGGAGTGGACAGTAGCTGGGCCAGACCTGCTACTGCTGGTGCTGCTGTCTGAGGACCTGGGGCTGCCCCAGCCAAACAGCTGAGGGGCAGGGGGACAGGAAGGGGACCTGGCACTGGCCACTCTTGGCTACTATTCACTGCTGCCTGCCTGTCCAGGGAGGAGAGGGTGGGAGGGCGAGGGAGGCATCCAGGGTGGGGTCATCTGCTGCTTTGGGACTCTGCCTGCGGGGGTGGGGGGTCACCGCAGGGAGCCCTGGCCAGGGGAAGCTCAGAGCTTCCTGAGATCGAGCCACTTGGCCTGGCCACTTCCTTCTCCAGCGAATCTCCTTCGTTTTCCCACCCTGGTTTGTTTGCTTTGGGAAGGGGCCCAGAGAGAGGGAAACAAATGCCAGCCGGGGCAGCTGGGCCACAGTCTGGCCACCCCATCTCCCTCCCTCTCCCCCTGCCTCAGGGACAGCCCCGGCTCCCCCTCCAGCCTGGAAGCGAGGGTTTTCCTCTGGAAGCTGCTCCTTTGCGTTTCCTATCCCCAGCTCAGCCAGTCCAGCCAGCCCAGGCCACTATCTCCCTCTAGCTTCTGCCCTCTGGGAGTGACTGGCATAAGCAGTGTGGGCTGAGGGCTGAGAACCTCCAGGTACGCGGGCTTTTTCCCTCTGCAGCCAACAGCCCCCAGGGAGATGTGGGGCAGGCTGAAGACTGGAGACCCTGCTCAGCCATTGACTGACTACCCCTGTCTGTGGGGACAGCCCAGGCCCTCTGCCTGTCCCCTGGAGAAAGCTCCCCACTCTGACCCTGGACCTCCCTAGCTGCGTCCCTGACCCTCCCTTCCAGGGTCTGGCCTAGGATTGGAAAGCAGGCCACTCTTCCTAGGTAATCCCTCTACCAGCCTCCCTGCTCCCCCCATAATTCTTACTGGGGCCTTCTGGTCTCCAGAGGGCTCCCACTCTTTCATGCACTGATGTGAGGGAAGCAGCAGCTGGAGCTCCATTTCACAGATGAGAAGAGCGAGGCCTAAGGAGATGAATAATATGCCAGAGGGTTCACCGCCCATGAATGTGGGACTGGGCGAAGCCCCCTTCCTGCCCCCAAATCCCACACTCTCCTGTACCAGCTCCTGGCACTTTTCTGTCTGTCTGAACCTGGATCCGGGTCTGCATTGGGCGCCCACCTCAGCTCAGAAACCCCTGGGGAGCCCAGTGCTGAGGCTGAATTCAGCCCAGCTTCTTGGCACCTGTCCCCGTCCTGGTATCTGGTTAGCACCTGTTAGTCTGCCTGCACTCAGGCTGACTGTGCCGTCACAGACAATCCTGGCAGGTGCTGCTGGGTCTCTGATGGGGTTATTCTTAAATCTGGGACCGGGGTGTTTATCTTGGATGGAGGAAGCGGGAGTGCAGGGCAGAGGTACCCTGGGCAGCCTCCATGCATGCCCACTCTCACCTTCACTGGAGTGCAGGGTGGGCTTCTCTCTTCCTGTCCTTGTGCTGTCCCCACTCCACCCTCCGGTCCCGGACAGTCCTCTTTCCTGCAGGCACACTGCGAGACAAAGGCCCTCCATTCAATTCAGAATGCCGGATGCGGATGCATGGGCAGGGCTCCTGTCTGTCTCTCCCTCTCCAGGGAAGATCTGACTGCAGGCCCAGGCCCAAGAGGGTGAGACCAGACTGGGTGTGTCCTGGGCCTTGCAAAACCAGCACTGCTGTTTCTTGTGGGCAGTTCTCCCTGTTCTCCTGCGACTGCTTGACGGTCCTACCTGAGGTCTCACATGTGGTCTTCCTGCTGCAGGTGCTGCTCTCCCATCATCCTTTCTTCCAGGAGATTTCAGCTGCCTTCCAGCTCTGCCCTTGCCCATCCTCTGCCTTCTCTCTCTGTTGTGGGAGTCCTGGCTCCTTATTCTTAGACTCCTAGACACCAGCATCCTCTTGGGGCCTCCTCCAGCTGCCCCCCCTTTTTAGAAGATGAAGCCCAGAGAAGGACAGAAGTGTCCCAAGGGCCCCCAACAGGGACTAGAAGCTGAGATCCTAGTGCATCACCAAGGGCTCTTCTTTGTGGGCATTCCTGGCTTCCATAGCCCCGACCCTCCTGGCTGGAGAGCTGGTCACACCAGGGAGGCTGACCCACATGTGAGCTGAGCGCCCCATTTTCTCCAGGGGGAGCCTCAGTTTCCTCCTGTAGAAATAGGAAGCCACAAAAAGACTACCAACGCTGCTTTTACATTTGATCCTGCAGCAGGAGGAACCCTGCCCAGCGGCAGTGTCTCCAAGGTTAATGCCTCCGTGTTTACTGCACCAGTTTCACCTTCTTTCTTCTCCAGGGCTGGGCTGTCTAGTTTTCTGCACTCCTCCCAGAGGGGGCTCCTCTTCCCCTCCCTCCCGCCCCCTGCAACCACCGCCCTAAGATCCCCTGTTCTCTCCTAGGGTTTCCTGTCCTGACCCCCCATGCCAGGGCAGGACTAGGGTGGGAAGGTAGGAAGGGCCTGAGTCCACCTTCTCCAAGGCTCCCTCCCCTCCTCCCCACCCCCCACTGTTTTCCCTTTGGCCTTTTCTGCTGTCTAGCATGGGCGGAGTCGGGGGCAATAGCCAAGCTCTGGGAATGGCTGGGAGCAGCTGTGCACACCTGGCAGCCCTGAGCCTGCTGTGCGGTGCACTAGGCCTGCTTCTGTTTGCAGCCGAAACTCTGAGTCACTCAGGGTGGTGGGAGAGGAGGCAGGAGGCAGCTGGGAGCCGACGGGGCTCCTGCCCCTGCCTGTTACAGGTGTGTTCTGGGCAGGGGTGAGGCTGTGCATGGCCATAAAAGGCAGCCAGACCTGGAAAGTTGTTCGTCATCCTCCTCCTCCAGGGTGGCACGGGGACTGTCATCAGAAAGGCCTGTCCTCTGTGCTCTTTGTTCTTAGGTGGGGCCGGTTGCACTAACCTTCAGTCCCACCCTTGCCCTTACCTGGTCCCCGTTTCACAGCAGGACAGCTAAGACTTGGTATTGCCCTGTCTCCTGAGTAACCCAGCCCAGGATCTGCTTGTTCTGCAAGGCCACCCTGGGATGTACAAAGGCCACAGAAGAGAGCACGCCTGGTGCCACGCCTGCCTGTGGCTGCTCCTGGCTCTGCCGTTGCTCTCTTTAATTTTTTTCCTCCCTCCCTTTCCATGTATTTCTTTAACTTGAAAGCGTTATAGAGAGAGAAAGAAGGAGAGGCAGAAAGATCTTCCAGCTTCTGGTTCACTCCCCAAATAGCCACAACGACCAGAGCTGAGCAGATCCCATACCGGCAGCCAAGAGCTTATTCTGATTCTCCCATATGGGTGCAGGAGCCGAACGCTTGGGCCATTCTCTGGTGCTTTTCCAGGCCATTAACAGGGAGCTGGATTGGAAGTGGAGCAGCCGGGACCTGAACTGGCACCCTTAATAAGATGCTTACACTGCAGGATTAGCTTGCTCCAGCCCTGGGCTCTGCCATTTCTAGCTTCAGTTTCCATGTTTGTAAATGAGGTTGTAGTTCCTGAGGATGGTAGCATTGGCAAGAGGCCTGGCTCAGGACAGATCCCCACACCATCACAGCAGCTGATCTCTGCAGGTCACTTCCCAAGATGATGGGTGGGGCCAAACCCACACCCAAGTGGTACCCCGCAGGTGCAGGCCTCATTAGCCTTCAGGGGTTCACCACAGGGCTGGGTGGGCTCCCGATTGGCAGCAGCCACCTTTGTTTGAGGGTGAGGGGAGGGGACTTGAAGAAGGCTGAGGCAGTGATGAGGGAAACCCCTTGAGCACCTGCTGTGTGCTAGGTCCTCAGGACCCCCTGCCAGGGTGGTGGTGTGACCATTTTGCAGATAACGACACTGAGGCTCGGCAGAGAATTGCCAGTAGCCGGGTCAGTAGCCGAGAGTCAGTCTGTGGCTGGAAGGTGGTGGGGTAGGGTGGAGAGTGTTACTCTGGCCCCTTGCACCACTCTGGGAGCTTGCCCCACCTGCGGGAAAGTGACATCCAGGAATCTGCGGGAGCCTGGGGGACTAGGAGAAACCTGTCTAACTGCTCTCCGCCCCGCCCTCCATGGGCCTCTTGCTTCCTCCGCAGTCTTTCCCAGGGAGCCCCAGCAGGGTGAGGGTAGGCCCTGGGTACCTCTGCCCCTAGGCAATTGGGTTCCGAGTGTGTGTGTAGGGAGTGGTGTTTGTCTCTTGACTGCCCCCACCCCTGACTTTTCCCCTCCATCTGGGCAGGAGGTCAGAGATGGGAACCCAGGACACCTCTCTACTGGTTTCTGCTCCCCCTCCCAGTCCCAGAGCTTCACTGGAGCCCCCTTTCAGCCCTGGGGGCCTTGGGCTTGTCCTGTAACTTACTAGGGCCTTGGGGCTGTGGTGGAGGCCAGGGGAAGAGGGGCCGTGTGCTGGGCTGCCCCATGGGGCGGCCAGCTCACTGGCTGCTCTTGTCTGTGTCCCAGCAGCCACCATGGAGGTGATGAACCTGATGGAACAGCCCATCAAGGTGACCGAGTGGCAGCAGACATACACGTACGACTCCGGCATCCACTCGGGCGCCAACACCTGCGTGCCCTCCGTCAGCAGCAAGGGCGTCATGGATGAAGACGAGACCTGCGGACGCCAGTACACGGTCAAGAAAACCACCACTTACACCCAGGGCGTGCCCCAGGGCCAAGGTCAGGAGCCCTGGCGGCTGGCACCAGGGATGGGATGTTAAGGGGGAAGGGTTGGTTCTAGGTTGGTTGTTTCTAGGGCACCCTGCTTCTGAGGATCCTGTGTAATCTGAGGGTGGAGGTACGGTCTGCGGGAGGAGGCACAGCTTCCTCGGGGCCTATCTGAGAAGCCAGCAGTCTGAAGGAGGAGGCACAGTTCTCGTCTTCTTTACACTTCAGAGGATGATGGGAGATGTCCCCCTACTCCCTTTGGGGTGCCCGTGGGCTGAGGGGAAGATGCTTCCCTATTGTTCCAGCAGCCCCGGGTTTGAGGGGAAGGGTAGGCTGCCAGCCTCAGGGAGCCCCTGGCTCTTAGGGCTGGGGTGACAGCTGAGGGAGGAAAGGAGAAACTGACAGATAGGTGGGCCAAGGCTAGGGTGTAGTCAGGTGCCCCTGGGGGAGCCAAGACTGTCATCCATCATTCAGGATCCATGGGAGCTGAGGCTGGCTGTGTCTCTTCCCTGACTGCAGGCAGGCCGTCTGTGCTTGGCAGGACCTAGCCTCCTCTGCTGTTAGTGGCAGACAGTTGAGCATCCCAGTGGGAAAGCTGGGAGATGGTTCCTCTTTCCCTACTAATTAGAGGATAGAACTTCGGCCTCCCTCTCCCGGGGCAGTTTTGGGACAGGGCCCTGGGCAGGGCTGCCAGGTACATGTCTGTGGGATGCCCTCTCTGCACCTGCTCTCTGAAGCCCATTGCCCTGGCTTTGCTGCTCTGTGCCTGTTTGTCGCCAGGAGGGGTGAAGGTGTAATTAGGATCCCTGGCTTATCTCATCCCTGCCTCTACCTGGTGGTTAAGGGAGGACAGTGGGATAGGGTATCTGTCAAGGGGGAAGAAGAGTGGCATAGCCATCTCCCAGGAGTTGTGGGCAGCTGGCTCTGTACCTTCCTCCTCAAACCCCCAACCACTGGGTTCTGAGTTGTGCTAGGGTCAAGTCTCACAGAACGGAGTGTGATATGTGCATACAAGCTCTGCACACCTGCCAGTGCTAGGCATGGCTCTGTCCCACATTGCGTGGGGAGAAAGTGACTAGGACTACAGTTTGTCAATAGTCACTGTAGACACGGTTCTTTTTAAAATGCTTTTGATCTTTGGTTGATTGGTTCCTTGGCTATGGAGGACCACAGCTGTCTCACTGGATGGCTGGCAAGTGGGGCCTTGTTTTACAGACAAGGGAGCTAAGGGAACTGGCTGCAATTGGAGACGCCGGGGCCTGGGTCAGGGCAGGAAGTCCAAGTGGGGCTGTCTGTGTGGCCTGCTCTGTGCCCCGATGTGATGCATCCCTCCCTGCCCCAGTCCCTTGCCTGCTGTCACTCAGTCTCTGCCCTGCTGGCCCCCAGGTGACCTGGAGTACCAGATGTCCACCACGGCCAGAGCCAAACGGGTGCGGGAGGCCATGTGTCCTGGAGTGAACGCCGAGGATAGCTCACTGCTGCTGGCCACACAGGTGGAAGGCCAGGCCACCAACCTGCAGCGACTGGCCGAGCCATCTCAGCTGCTCAAGTCAGCCATCGTGCACCTCATCAACTACCAAGACGATGCCGAGCTGGCCACCCGGGCCCTGCCTGAGCTCACCAAACTGCTCAACGACGAGGACCCGGTCTGTGGGAGTGGAGGGGGGCAGGGAGGGCTGAGGCCAAAGGTGGGGAGGGTGGAGCAGAGAAAGTACTCTGTTCCTCTGAGCTTTCTAGAAGGGTCTCTGGCCCATCTAATCATGGTCTCCCCTCCTTCCCCATGATCCAGGTGGTGGTGACCAAGGCAGCCATGATTGTCAACCAGCTGTCCAAGAAGGAGGCGTCACGCAGGGCCCTGATGGGCTCGCCCCAACTGGTGGCGGCCGTGGTGCGTACCATGCAGAACACCAGTGACCTGGACACGGCACGCTGCACCACCAGTATCCTGCACAACCTCTCACACCACCGTGAAGGGCTGCTTGCCATCTTCAAGTCAGGCGGCATCCCTGCTCTGGTGCGCATGCTCAGGTAGGTACCCACCTGCCCCAGGCTCCATCTCTAAACACACGCTGAGCAATTGCTGCATGTGGGGTGCAGAACCGTGGCCTGGCCTGGCCTGGCAGACAGGTAGACAGCAGGCTGATGCTCAGGATACCATGTAGGCAGGCACTGGCTGAGGAAGCTGGGAGGTGGGTCACTCTAGCCACTGGAGGTTGTTAGGTGGATGGAGTTTGGCCAGTGATGTTGGAGGGAAGAGTGTCCCAGGGCCGAGGGGGTGCATATACAAAATCTCCTGCAAGCTTGATCATTTTTTTACTTTTTTTTAAAAAAAAAATGTATTTTTGCATCTAATTGAAAAGCAGAGTGAGACATCTGCTGGTTTACTTCCCAGTAGCATGGGTTGGGCCAGACTACAGCCAGACCCTAGAATTCCATCTAGATCTCCTCTGTTTGGATGGCAGGAACCCAAATACTTGGATCATAACCTGCCTTTTTCCAGAGTGTATCAGGAAGCTCGACTGGGAAGCAGTGGAGCTGGGAGACTGGGAGACATCCCAGTATGGGATGTTGGGGTCCTAGGTGGCAGCTGAACACGCTTCGCCACAACACCTGTTCTGCAACCTTGCTCTTTCCTGGCCTGATTCTCATTCATTTGGTCTCATTCTCCATTCCCACACAGCAGGCTGTGAGGTCCCCAACGGTAGAGCTATCCCACACAGGATCTCTCTCCCCCATGGCCTTGTACATGGTAGCTCTTCCCTAATGATGATGTGGAGGAGGCTGACAGGGTGCTGAGCTGCGGCTGGGAGCTGGGCAGGGGAAGCCCGGGGCCCGGGGGTGGGGGAGGGAAATGCTGTATGCAAAAGCACAGGATTGTTGATGTGATTTGAGCAGAGGGCCATTTGCACAAGGCTATGTGTGTGCAGGTGGTGTGTGTCCCTATAGATGCCATCCTGGAATTGTAAGCCCCTGGGCCCTGACACCTGCTACTCCCTACCCCTGCCACCCCCTGCAGCTCCCCCGTGGAGTCGGTCCTGTTTTACGCCATCACCACACTGCACAACCTGCTGCTATACCAGGAGGGCGCCAAGATGGCTGTGCGCCTGGCCGACGGGCTGCAGAAGATGGTTCCGCTACTCAACAAGAACAACCCCAAGTTTCTGGCTATCACCACCGACTGCCTGCAGCTTCTGGCCTATGGCAATCAGGAGAGCAAGGTGCGCCTGCCCACCTGTGCAGGGCTGCCTGCAGCCACGGTGTCCCCAGGTTTCCAGCTCGATAGAAGGTGCTCCAGGGAGCATCTCTGAGTGCTCAGCTCTCCCCAGCATGGGAAACGTTTTCATCCATGGACTGAGGGTTTATAGCACTTCTTTTCCCAGACAGCCAGAGCAGTGCTGCCCAGAAGGGCTGGACACTCGTCCAGTGCCCTTGGTGGTAATGGGGGTGTGTCCAGCTTTGCTGAGCCCTTGCTCGTGTTGGGTGTTACCTCCAGCAGTCCCAGCTTACTATTACTCAGTAATAGTAGCTGTGCTACCTCTGTCCCCCTCCGCTTCCTCGTTGCCTGGCCTTGTTCCCTGCTTGTCTTACACTTGTCCTCATGCTCTTTCCCACAGCTGATCATCCTGGCCAATGGAGGGCCCCAGGCCCTTGTGCAGATCATGCGCAACTACAGCTATGAGAAGCTGCTCTGGACCACCAGCCGCGTGCTCAAGGTGCTGTCCGTGTGTCCCAGCAACAAGCCGGCCATCGTGGAGGCTGGTGAGTGTGTGGCCGGGAGGGCTGGGCCGGTGGTCTCTCCCCACTCTCCCCACGGCCTGTGCTGTGGCTGATAAGGCCTCTGTCCCCTGCCCCAGGTGGGATGCAGGCCCTGGGCAAGCACCTGACCAGCAACAGCCCCCGCCTCGTGCAGAACTGCCTGTGGACCCTGCGCAACCTCTCAGATGTGGCCACCAAACAGGTGAGGCAGGTGTCGGGGCTTGCGGCTCACATCAGCCAGCTGCTCCAGCTTCCGGTCTGGGCGAGTAGCCTTAGCCTTAGGTGTCAGAGGATGCCTGAGGCCTCTCAGTTCTCTTCCAACTGAGGCTGGAAAGGCCTTGGAAGACCCCCAGTGCTGTAGCCTAAGGCTCTCTGTGAGGCACTGGGGAGGAAGAGGAGAGGGTTAAAGGTGGACAGTTCTCACTTAGGCCCTGAAGCAGGAACCCTGGTCCACAGAGATGGACTAAAAATGTAGAAATAGCAACAATGATGTGTTTAGTTGTTTGAAAGGCAATAAGAGAGATCTTCCATCCACTGGTTCATTTCTTTCTCAAAAGTCCACAATAGCTGGGGGTTAGGCTAGCCCTAGGCTGGGGACCAGGAAATTCCATCCAGGTTCCCCCTACCTGAGTGGCAGGGGCTCAAACACCTGGGTCATCCCCTGCTGTCTCTCAGATACATTAGTGCAGAGCTCACTGGAAGGGTAGAGCAGCCCAGACTCAAAGGGGGCTCTGATTGAGGGGATCTCTTCCACAGCTCCCTCCCCAGTCAGGGGCCCTGGGGAAGCTTAGAGACTGACATAGGTTCAGTCCTGGTCCCCCAAGACTGCCTGAGCCTCCTGGCCTTGCTGTCTCCCAGAGTTGTTAATGAGTTCCCGACAGGTTGTGGCAGGTAATGGGGAATACAGAATCTCAGGCGCTCAGGCGAGGCTGACCGCCTTGGACACGATGGGGCCTCGCTCACCACCTGCCTGCCTGCCCATCTGTGTGTAGGAGGGCCTGGAGGGTGTACTGAAGGTCCTGGTGAACCAGCTGAGTGTGGACGATGTCAACGTGCTCACCTGTGCCACGGGCACGCTCTCTAACCTGACCTGCAACAACAGCAAGAACAAGACGCTGGTGACACAGAACAGCGGAGTAGAGGCCCTCATCCACGCTATCCTGCGTGCTGGTGACAAGGATGACATCACTGAGCCAGCTGTCTGCGCCTTGCGCCACCTTACCAGCCGCCACCCTGAGGCTGAGATGGCCCAGAACTCCGTGCGCCTCAACTACGGCATCCCGGCCATCGTCAAGCTGCTCAACCAGCCCAACCAGTGGCCGCTGGTCAAGGTACTGACCCCTGGCTCCTGGCTGCTGTTGTCTGTGGCTGCCCTGGGGGCTGGCTGATCAGGGCTAAGCCCCAGGTGGGTCCAGGCATGTCCAGGCAGAGCTGTTGGCATGGTGGCCCTGACCATAGCAGCTCTCATAAGATGGAAGTGTTTGTCCATATTGTGGTGGCGTAGACCTTGATAGTGGGTCTGGTGTAATGATGAGAGTTTTTTCTACCGCATGCCAACAAGCACAAGAAACCCCTGAACTGGCTTGGGAGGCTGTAGGGGACCTGTGGGGGGCTGGGTGTCCACATGCATGAGCCTATGATCCTTACTCTGTAGGCCCCCTGGGGTCCTCATGTCTAACTCTAGTAGCCCCTAAGAAGGATATCCCATTCTAGCGCCCAAACCTGGCCAGCTGTCGGATGGCCCACCCCGGAGCTCAGTCACCTGGCTGCCCTGAGATGTAGAGGACTGGGATACTTAGTTGTTGACCGGAGGATCCCTGAGGGGCACTGAAGGGAGACTTTTGGGAGATGCCGAATGTGTCATGGGGAGTCTGGAGTGTGAGGAATTGGGAGACATGTCTCGCTCCCCAGGGGCCAGGGAGGTGAGGATGGCTAGACTATGAATGAGATTGGGATAGAATCTCCTAGGAAGGGATGTGTGTGTCGGGAAGCAACAAGAGGCAGGGAACAGGACACCCGGCACCAGAGTGACGGTGTTACCTTGGACTGGGAGCCAGCAGGAACTCCTGGGATGGAGAAGGGTGATGTCAAGTGATTACGTACATTGGCTAATCCATAGTGAGAGAAACACTCCTGGGTCTGGCCCCTGCTTGGCTCTCTGTGCCTACCGCACAGGGTCATGAAACCTTGGCATGGCACTCTCTACTGCCCCCCATGGCTCCTGGCCTCAGCTCACACGTGCTCTCCATCTGAAGCTTAAGAGAGGGAGCAGGTGACTTTGCCAGACCAGAGGGGCTGCTGGGAGCCGAGGTTCTGGGGTTGATTATAGCTTGAACATTTGGGTGGATGCTGTGAGAAAAACCAGTGATATCATAGTGTCTGGGAGGGGCAAGAGAGGGAGAGGGTGCAGGCTGGGACATGGAGGCTGATAGAATGTTCTGAAACGGGGTGTCTTTTCAGTAGAAGATATGAGATTTAGCCATGAAGAGCCCATGAGTTCTACAGAGGATGGGCCACACAGGCCAGGGTCCAGAGTCCTTCAGCATGTCTGTATCTGGACTGGGGGCAGAGATGCTAGGCAGGGAGCAGACACCTGTGGCTTGGAAGCTGAGGTCCTCTGGGGTTCTTTGAGTGCCGAAGAGATGCCCCTAACAGCTGCCTCTTCTCTTACCAGGCAACCATCGGTCTGATCAGGAATCTGGCCCTGTGCCCAGCCAACCATGCCCCGCTGCAGGAGGCCTCAGTCATTCCCCGCCTTGTCCAGCTGCTGGTGAAGGCCCACCAGGATGCCCAGCGCCATGTGGCTGCCGGCACCCAGCAGCCCTACACGGTCAGTGAACTGGTGATGGTTGGAGTCTGGGTGTCCCATGGCATGTGCCCATGTGTGGGTGTGTGGGAAATGAGGGGGAGGGTTAGTTGCAACCAAAGTTTCTTGGGTGTCCTGGCCACGTACCAGGGCCACCTGCCTCATGCCCCATGCTCCCCCCCACGCAGGATGGCGTGAGGATGGAGGAGATTGTAGAGGGCTGTACCGGAGCCCTGCATATCCTTGCCCGGGACCCCATGAACCGCATGGAGATCTTCCGACTCAACACCATCCCCTTGTTCGTACAGGTGAGTTTGGGCCAGGTGGGTGGCAGAGGATCCAGCTGCTGGGTGAAGGGCAGGGTTTGGAGTTTGTGGGATGTTGTTAGCACTTTGGAGAACAGCAGGTGCACCACCGGGCCTGGAAGAGACCCCTTTGCGAAGCCCCCAGGGTGGAATGGCTTTCTAAGCTCAAAAGCAAGAGGAGACAGGAGCAAAAACAGAGGGTTATTATTATTTTTTTTTTCTAAGAGAAAAGTTCTCATGTCTACTTGGTTTTTCCAGAAGTTGGTTCTTTAGCCATAGAGATGAAGCTCCTTAGACAGGCGTGAGCAGAAGTGAATGAGGGGGCAGCTCCTGAGCGGGTAGCGCCTGTGGGTGCAGGGGTGAATCAGGGTGATGGTGCTGGGGTCCTTCACTTTCGACCCCCTTGCTGGAAAGGGCAGGGCTGCTCACCCACCTTGGAACAAATACCCACTTGGAGATGTACCCCTGATGGCTGCAGCTTCCATCATTTTGTTAACTTATTTATTTTTTTATTGGAAAGTCAAATATACATAGAGGAAGATCTTCCATCCAATGATTCACTCCCCAAGCGGCCACAATGGCCAGAGCTGAGCTGATCCAAAGCCATGAGCCAGAAGTTTGTTCCGGGTTTCCCACACAGGTGCAGGGTCCCAGGACTTTAGGCTCTCTTCGATTGCTTTTCCAGGTCACAGCAGGGAGCTGGATGGGAAGTGGGGCTACTGGAACTAGAATTGACACCCATATGGGATCCCAGTGGATGCAAAACAAGGACTAGCCACTAGGTTATCGCGCTGGTCCCTGTTTAATTGTTTTTAAGGCAGAATACACACAAAGAAATAAGTAAGTGCTGGCTGACTCCTCACATGGTCTCACTGTCCAGGGCCAGGCCAAATCCATGACTCCATCTGGGTCTCTATGTGGTCACACGGGGCTCAGGACATGGATCATCCTCTTCTGTCCTCTGGGTCGCATCAGCAGGGAGTTGGGTTGGAAGTGGAACAGCTGAGACTCAATCTGGTGCCCACAGGGATGCCAGCAGGCCATTGTGCTTTCTTTTGTGTCATCTTGGAAGCCAGGACCTGAAAGTGGCTGAAAAAAAAAGTTTTAAGATTCAGGCTTATAGATAGGAAACCATCCATGTGGTGTGCCCAGGGGACTGCAGCTGGGTCACCTGTGTGCATTCCACCCCCATAGCTGTCAAATTAGCAAAGGAAAGATGGTTGGGAGAGGCCTGCACTGGTCAAAGTGTAATGATGTGGGCAGTCTTGGACCCTGCTGGGGCCTCGAGGGCAGCTTTGGGGTATGCCCAGGGAGCCTTGAATCGTGGTTACATCCTGTGCAGGCCTCTGCGTAGGTTATGAGCTAATGTCACTGAACAGATGAGCAGGGACGCAAGTATGGCAGTGACAGCCGCAGGGCCACTGCACCGAGGAGATAAGGGGCGCTGTGAGAACGAGTGGCCTATACTACGTCTGCGTGTCACCTGCAGTGATGCTGCCAGTATGTACTTGTTTGAATGTTTTTAAGATTTGTTTATGTATTTGAAAGTCAGAGTTACACAGAGGGAGGAAGAGACAGAGGTCGTCCATTCACTGGTTCAATTCCTAAATGGCTGTCCAACTGGGGCTGGGCTAGGAGCCAGAAATTCCACTTGGGCCATCCTCCACTGCTTTCCCATGCTCATTAGCAGAGAGCTGGATTGGAAATGGAGCAGCTGGGACTTGAACTGGTGCACTGATAGATTTTTCTAGGAGAATTTTTTTTTAAAGACTTGATTGTTTGAAAGGCAGAGTGATAGAGGAAGAAGGAGAAAGACAAAAGAGATCTTGCATCAGCTGGCTCCCTCCTCTTTTGGCTGCCACAGTCAGGGCTGGGCCAGGCCAAAGCTGGGCAGCCGGAACTCCATCCCATGGGTGACAGGGCCTGAAATACTTGAGCCATTCTTTGCTGTTTCCCAGGTGCATTAGCGGGGAGGTGGATCAGAAGCACAGTAGTTGTGACTCAAACCAGTGCTGGGCCTGTGAGGCGTGGCTTAACCCACTGCTCTACCATGGCTGCCCCTTAAAAGAAACGTGAAAATAATATAAATAATATATGAAGAAATGCTTTGTGCTGCTGTATCAGATGGGAAGAGGCAGGAGCCAGCGTTGTGTGTGCTGCCTGATGACTGGGTTAGGGTACACACCTAGAAACCTGCTGAGGTGGTCTCAGAGGCTGGGCCTGGTTGTTTGCTTGCTTCTTGATGCCTCCAGCGTTGTACCCTTTCTTAATGAGCTCAGGTTTAAATGTGGCAAGGGGCTGGGCAGGGCTGTGTTGCATGCCTCCCTCGCTGCTCTGCCCGTGCCCCACCCGCCTCACCGTGCTGCCCTTGCCTGCCCTCTGCAGCTGCTGTACTCATCAGTGGAGAACATTCAGCGTGTAGCTGCGGGTGTGCTGTGTGAGCTGGCCCAGGACAAGGAGGCGGCCGATGCCATTGATGCTGAGGGGGCGTCGGCCCCTCTCATGGAGCTGCTGCATTCCCCCAATGAGGGCACAGGTGAGAGAGGCCGTTACAGGGGCTGTGTGGGGTGGCTGGGCCCGGTGACAACCATCATCTGACCCTGCCTTCCCTTCCTTGTCCGTGTAGCCACCTACGCAGCCGCCGTCCTCTTCCGCATCTCTGAGGACAAGAACCCCGATTACCGGAAGCGCGTGTCTGTGGAGCTCACCAACTCCCTGTTCAAGCATGACCCGGCTGCCTGGGAGGCTGTGAGTATGCGGGCTTGCACTGCGCTGTGGTGGAGTGAATGGCACGGGGCAACATGTCAGGAGCCCCTAGCTTGCTGTCCATGACATGCTTTTTTGTTTTATAACTGAATCATTTGTGAGAGTTTGTAGCAAATGAAAAGAGGGGTTGATCCCCTATTTCTCTTTTTAACTTTTTTGAAGATTTATGTATTTATTTGAAAGGCTGAGTTCGAGATAGAAACAACATGTGTTCACTGATTGAATTTTCAAATGGCCGTTCCCCCCTGCCCCCATCTGTGTGGATCCACCAAAGTGGCAATTTCATTTTGCCCAGAGGAGGATCCCATGTGTGTGAAGAGGGCACAGGTTTCTGGAATCTGCACAAAGGTGCTGGATGGGCATCTTTAGGAGCTCACCATCCTACGTTCCTCCAAGGGGTCTTCACTCTTCCCCCGAGCCATCTCCTGCTGTGTTAATGCCAGCTCTCTCCCGGCCCCCAGCCCAGGGCGGCCAGGTGTGTGCCCTCGGTGCCATCCTTTCCCTGTTCCTCTCTCCCTCCGCAGGCGCAGAGCATGATCCCTGTCAACGAGCCCTACGGGGATGGTAAGTGCCAGTGGGAGCCATGTAGTGTCCACGTGAGCGCCAGTCTAGGTCCTCTGGCACGGGAGCCTGGGGATGAGGTCAGGCCCCTGGGCACAGGCAGGGGTGTAGGAGGTAGCCTGCACACCCCTGCCTAGAGCCCCCCTTCTCATCTCCAGACATGGATGCCACCTACCGCCCCATGTACGCGAGCGATGTGCCCCTTGACCCACTGGATATGCACATGGACATGGATGGGGACTACCCCATGGACACTTACAGCGATGGCCTCAGGCCCCCCTACCCCACTGCGGACCACATGCTCGCCTAGCTGCCTCTGCCCGGTATGGCACCTCCTCCCGGCTGCCCTCCCGGCACCTACTTTGCCCTGTCTCTCTCTATTCTCTCCCTGGGGTGGGGGAAGTTCCTATTTGTTCCCTGAAACCCTGGCTCTTTGGAGAACAGTGGGTCTGGGGGTACTCCATGCATCCCAGCTTCTCTCAGAGGAGACACCCAGGCCTTTCTTGGGGGAGGGGGGAAGGTGGTGGGCAGGTGACACTGGAGTGGTGTGGGTTTCTGACCTGCTGTGTCTGCCTTCCTGCAGGTGCGGCTCCTCGTTCGAGCGGCCACCCCAGCGGGCAATGGGGGAGACAGAAGTGCCTGAGCCGGGGGAGCCGGGACTGCACCTGCTGAGGTCCCCCGTAGGGTCTTTCTTGGGATGGGTTCTGCACCTGCTTTGCTGTCCTGGGTCGTGGGTTCAGGGCCCAATGCCCCTCCCTGCCCTGTGGCCCAGCCACGAAAGCTTCACACGCAAGCCACCCGCCCACTTGGTGCCCCTAGCCGCCCAGGGCCCCAGCCATGGGCTCTCTTTTCTTCTCTACATTTGATTTTTGTTAATGAACTCAACTGACTAGCTGCCCAAAGTCATTCAAGGCCCAGGGCCAAGGCCCCAGATCTGGAAATCCAAAGTTTTTCTTGCAGCAGAGTTCAAGGCTGACCCATGTGAGATGGAGAAGGGGGGCCCGGCTCCAGGCACTGCCTGCCTCCCTCTCCAGCAGGCTGAGCTGGCTTTTGGGGTGCTTTCCCCCTCCACGGTTGCCCACTGTGGTGTGTGGTGAGGGGTCCTCTTTTCCCTTCTTGTTTCTGGCCTCACCCCACCCCCTGCACATGGGTGGGGAGGTTGCTGAGGGGGTCCCAGTGCAGAGTTTTATTATCATCGCTTCATGTTTTTGGTTATTGGTTTTTTGTATAGACCAAAGCAAAGAAAATAAAAGTCACACAGATAAAATGGGGCTGTGTAGGAGCATGTGTTCCTGGGAGCTTCCCGCCAGCTTTGCCTCCCTGGCCATATGGTGGAGGAGTCTCAATGAGGGCAGGTCTGGACCGTGCTCCCTTCTCCCTGCAGTGTTCTCTGTTGGCCACATGCAGGCGAAAAACCCAGAGAACCCATTCATGTTGTCCATCCTGGTCATGCCCTGCCCAGGGCTGTATGCAGACTCCTGGGCTCCAGTTGCCTTCCTCCTTGGGCCGCATGTGGAAGGACTGCTCTCCCAGCTTCCTGAGGACCCGGGCCAGGATGAGGCAGCCATGGGGAGAGTTGATGCCCTGCACCATGAAGCTTTCTGGCAGCCTGGCCATGAAGCAAAGCTTGAGGCAGGAGGCTGCCGTTGCCACTTGGAACACTCACACCGCTTTTCTGAGGTCTTTAGTCCTGCCACCTCCACTTCCGATGGGCTCCCAGCTGCAGGTGTCTAGGAGGCAGGAGAGGATGGTCCAAGTGTGTGAGCCCTTACCACCCATGTGGATGGGAGTTTCAGATCCATGATTTCAGGATGACTCAAGCCCAGCCATTGTTGTCATTTGAGAAGTGAATCAGCTGAGGAGTCTCCCCCACTTTCTTTCTCTGGAACTCTGCATTTAAAGTAAATCCTAAAACCAATCACAACTTGGACCAACGTGGTAGCCTAGCGGCTAGAGTCCTCACCTTGCACATGCCAGGATCCCATATGGATGCTGGTTCTAATCCTGGTGGCCCTGCTTCCCATCCAGCTCCCTGCCTGTGGCCTGGGAAAGCAGTCGAGGACGGCCCAAAGCCTTGGGACCCTGCACCTGCATGGGAGACCTGGAAAAAAATTCCTGGCTCCTGGTTTCAGATTTGCTTGGCCCCAGCCATTGCAGCCACTTGGGGAGTGAATCAACGGATGGAAGATCATCCTGTCTCTCCTCCTCTCTGTATATGTGACTTTCTAATAAAAATAAATAAAAATCTTTAAAACAACTTAAGGCAGATTCACCTCAGTGGAACTTGGTTTTACCTGTGGGAATTTGCTGGTCTCGGCCACCTTGAGGAAATCAAGTGTCTCTCTGAGCCTCCATTTTGTCATCTGGGAAATGGAGATGATGCTGATTGGGCCCCCAAGAAGTGGTGATAACACAGGAAGGTAAGGGAGTCCCAGCAGGAGCAAGCACAAAGTGAGAAGCTCTTGCTTCCGCCTTTTTGATTCCCAGAAGGGCCAGCCAGCCCAGGGATGTGTCTGGACACCGACTGGGCCCATCATACAGTCAGCCTTGGTTGCTAAGACTGTTGGGAAGTTGAGAATCTCTGATGCATGCAGTGTACCCTTTGGCCGGGGCGGGGGGGGGGGGGCAGTGGGAAACTGATAAAAAGAAAGAGGATGTGGAAGATCTTGGTTGACCATCCCTTGGGCTGTGGCAAATGGCTTAGAGACTGAGCTCACTTCCTCTGCGGCTGGCTTGGTCAGAAAGGAGACAGAAGAATGCTGGCTGTTTGGGCTTCAGCCAGCCCAGAGCAGAACACAGGTATAGGTGGTGCCGTATGGTGGGAAAGCCACCTGCAGGTACTAGAAAACCTGACTGTGTTGGGCTGAAGGGAGGGGCCCCTCTTCAGCTGCCATGGTCAACATTTCCACCTTCAGATTGGCGATCTTAATGGCAGCAGAAGCCAGCCTAGCAGAGCAGCAGGTGCCAAGCTGAGGATGGGAGCGTGGCAGGTAAATGGCAGGACCTGGGCTGGGGTTAAGGCTCCCGTGGGCCTCATCTGGGTATCTGAGTTTGATACTGGCTCACGTCTGGCTTCTGACTCAAGATGGCAGCTTAAGGATTGGGGTCCCTGCCGTCGGTGTGGGAGACTTGGATTGAGCTCCAGGCTCCCAACCTCCGCCTCGCCCAGCCTCAGCCATTATGGGCATGTGGGAGTGAACTGGCAGAGGGGAGCGCTCTCTCTCAAGATTTATTTGCTTTTATTGGAAAGACAGATGTACAGAGAGAAGGAGGGACAGAGAAAAATCTTCCATCCACTGGTTCACTCCCCAAATGGCTTTCCCAGGCCATAAGCAGGGAGCTGAATGGAAAGTGGGGCTGCCGGGATTAGAACTGGTGCCCATATGGGACCCCGGTGTATGCAAGGTGAGGACTTAAGACGCTAGACTATCACACCAGGCCCAGCCCTCTTTCTAAAATAAACAAATAAAAAATTAAAAACTTCTTAAAAAATGCAGAACAAAAATAGTCTAGAAATGATAGGCCAGAAGGGGGAATAGAATCCATTGAACTGAGATTTCAGTAAGTTCTTGAAATAAGTCTTAAGATCTAGTCATTGCTGGAGCAACAAGTTTCTGCTTGGGAGGCGTCCATGTCAAGTCACTGTGCCACGTTCAAGTCCCAGATCCTCTACTTTCTGTTTAGCTGCCTGCTAAGGCACCTGGGAAAGCAGCAGGTAACGGCCGAGGTGTGGGGGTCCCGGACGCTCATGGAGGAGACCAGGATGGAGTTGCAGGTTCCCAGCTTCATCCTGGCCCAGCCCTGGCTTTTGTAGTCTTTCTCTTTCCAGTAAAATGAATATGAATAAATACATGATCCTAAGAAGGAGATGTACCGTGAGGAGTTGCTTATGGAGGTGGAGGAACCCCAACATCTGCCCCTGTAGGGATTCGTTCCTGGCCCAAAGGCCTGGGGCTTGGGCCACAGTGATGTACTGCCCAGTGTCGGGGAGCAGGGATAAAAGTCCCAGCTCCAATGAGAAGGTGGAAAGAGAGGGGTAAGTTGGGGACCAGTGCTGTGGCTTAATGAATTAAGCTGTAATCTGCCATATGGGGCACTGGTTGGAATCCCTGCCATTCCACTTTCCATCCAGCTCCCTGCTAAGGCACCTGGGAAAGCAGCAGATGATGGTACAAGTGCTTGGGCTCCTAAACATACGTGGGAGACCCAGAAAAACTCCTGGCTCCTGGCTTTGGCCTGGCCCAGTCCTGGCTGTTACGCAGTTTGGGGAGTGAACCAGAGGATTAAAGATTATCACTCTGGGCCTGGCATGGTGGCCTAGCAGCTGAAGTTCTCACCTTGCACATGGTTCTAATCCCGGCAGCTCCACTTCCCATCCAGCTCCTTGCTTGTGGCCTGGGAAGGCAGTCAAGGATGGCCCAGAGCTTTAGAACCCTGCAACCCGCGTGGGAGACCCGGATGAAGCTCCTGGCTCCTGGCTTTGGATTGGCACATCACCGGCCGTTGCAGTCACTTGGGGAGTGAATCATTGGATGGAAGATCTTCCTCTCTGTCTCTCCTCCTTTCTGTATATCTGACTTTGTAATAAAAACAAATCTTAAAAAAAAAAAAAAAAGATTATCACTCTGTCTCTCTAACTCTGCAATGGGTTACCCTCACTGTGGTTCAGGGTATTTCCCCGCCCCCCATCGGATGTAGTCCATGGGTTCAAAATCCATGCCCACCGCTATCACCCTCCTGGCACACCCGGGGACCCCTGTGGCCAGATTAGGTGACTCAGGAGCCCTCACTTGCTATCACACAGACTGAATGACACGGCGTCCAGGGGACAGAGCAAGGACAGCCGTGGCTGCTCCACGTGGGCTGCACTTGCCGGCCACTCACTCCTGCTTTGTTTAGGACATTGTCGAGACAGAGGCTCCACACCCTCCCTCCCAGGGGGCAGTGGGCGAGAAGCCAGCATCAGCAGGAAAGTGTGGGAGTGAGCCTGGTAGCCTGGAGTCTGAGAGCCAGAAACGAGTGGGTGCCAAAGGAGGTGCCCGCTGGGCACTGGGGCGGGCCTTGGCATTTTTGGAGCTGGGCAATGAAGACATAGTGGTCTATACTTGGGGGCAGAGTGCGAGATGTGGCAATCCGCCTAGGAGAGGCATGGGACAGACAGAACAACAACCCTGGAGGGCCTGCCTGGGGCATGTGGCCCAAGCTGGAGAAACCTGGTGTGCCGGCCACTGGAAAAGATATGTTTTATTATTTGAGAGGGGTGGGGGGGAGGGGACTCCCACTCACGGGTTCACTCTCTAAGTATTAACATTAGTTGAGGCAGGGCTGGGCTCAAATTGAGAACTCTCGGATCTCAACATGGATGGCAGGGACTCAAGCACTTCTACCTCGCAGACACATTAACAGGGAGCTGCATTGGAAGCAGAGAGCTCAGTCTTGGAATTGGTGCTCTAGTTGGAATGAGGCAGCATAGATGGCTGCCCTGGTGAGCGCCAGGGCTGGGGTGGACTCCCGGTTCCGCACACATATTACCCACTCCCTTTCCTAAGACAGCCTGAGCCTAGCTCCACTGGGAGCATAGGGCTGGCCTGGCTGCACCGTGTCTTTGGGAGGATGGGCTCCTGGTGGAGGAGGTAGTGGTACAGGAGGGCAGTGGAGAAGTAGCTGTGGTGGGGTGAGGTGTTTGCCCCAAGCACTTGTCCCCAAGGCTTTCCCAGAGTGAGGGAAGCCTGCGAGGTCAAGGGCTGCTGAGTCTGGCTTCCTGTCCCAGGGCCCTGAGACCCGAGGTCACCTGGTGGGATGGCCCTAGGAGACAAGGGGCAGGCAAGGGGCCCGCATGACGTGAGCCAGAAGTCTTCTGGCCCTCAATCACGGGGCCAAGCTATGGCACCTGGAATCTGTCTGGAATGGCTGGAATGCTTGGAATCCTCCCTCGGGCTGCTTCTCCCTCCCCTCCCCAGAAGCCAGCTCGCAGCTCCAGAGCCTGCTCCGAGTGGAGCCCCTCCGAGGAGGGTTACAGGTGATCTCCCGTGGGTGCGTGTTCCTCCTGCTGCAGGCAGCCCGGTGACACAGACGCTCTGATTTCCCCTCCACAACAGGAACCCATTCAGCGGGACACATTGCACGCTGAAACAGAGGCCACCGCATCGGCAGCAGACGCTGGCCGGATGTGAGTCCGTGTAGTCCTGGCTGCTTCACGCCTGCCCAGCTCCAGGGCATCAACAAGGAGCTTGAGAGTAGGGAAACACCTGCTCCTAGCACGCCCCCTCCTGGCGGCCCAGCATCACTGCTGCCTCTGCGCTGGCCAGCAGGGGAAGGCAGAGAGCACAAGACTGCAGGTTGAGGGCGGCTGATGGCCCCTGGGTGCTGACTGGGGCAGGGAGTACTGGGACAGTGGCCTGCTCCTGGTGGCTGAGGGTACAAGGGAGGGGAAACGATTCTGCCAAGTCCTTTGAGAGACAGCAGAAAGGGGGTGGTGTGGAGCTGCCCAGGGCACCCCTTATTCTTGCTCTTCTTTGGGATACAGTGCCTAGCCTTGTCCTAGTTCAGGACGCTGACCCCCAGGGCCTTTTGCATGGGGTCAGCTGCTACAGAGTTTGCTGTGCAGGGTATGTCCAGGGGAGGGAGTGGGAGCGGGCACTGGAGTCCTTGGGCACTGCCCAAGGCCAGGTGGCTGAGTTCCTGTGGAGTGTGCTGGTAAGTCTCCTGCTGCCACCTGTTCACTCCCTGGCCCATCAGGGATCAGGGCGTGGACACCCAGAGAGGGCAGGAGACCTGGCCTCTATTCTGCTGGACTTCTTCCTGCCTTCCCCCAGCCCTGTAGCAGGGAAGAGGATTGCTGACCCCGTGGACAGTCCTGGTCAAAATGTTGTTTGTTGGATGATGGGGGAGAGGTCTGAGCCTTGGTTTGTTCATCTCTACAATGGGCATCTCTACATCTCTTAGGGGAGACAGGGATTGTAGGCTGGGGCAAGCTGTCACTGCCCTCTGGCGGTGGAAGCCGGAGTTGCCAGGTATTCCGGCCTAGTAGGTATTCCAGCTTCATCTTCTCTCTCACCCGGCTTGCTTCTGCTACACCCCAAACTCCTCCAGGGTCACGGGTGGGGTAGGGGATCTCTGCCTCCCTGGCCAGAACCAATTCAGTTCAACATGACGGGCTCCTTTCGTGTGTGCCGCCTCGAGCCAGATGATGGCAGCGCAGATGCAATTAGGGAGTAGGAGGTGAGGGCTACCCTGCCCAGGCCTCCATGTGGTCCCCGCCTCACTGTCCCTTGTGAGCCCTGTGGCTGTCTCCTTTGGACTCCTTGCTGAGCAGGAAGCCACAGGAAACAGAATGGACTTGTCTCCTATAGCCACCCCTGGGGTCCTTCTCTGTCCTGCACCGGTTGTCTCCTGGCTGCTCAATACTTTCAGCAGCACATAAGCACACGGTAATAGTGCCTGTCTTGTAAAAAATGTATTTAGTTATTTGAAAGAGAGAGAGAGAGAGAGAGAGAGAGAGAGAGAGAGAGAGAGGTCTTCTATCTGCTGGTTTACTTTTCAAATGGCTGCAAAAACCAAATGTGGACCAGGACAAAATCAGGTGCCAGGGGCATCATTCAGATCTCCCAGCCTGGGTGCAGGAGCTCAAGGACCTGGGACATCCTCCTCAGATTTCCCACTGCGTCAGCAGGGAGCTGGATGGGAAGTGGAGCAGCTGGGACTTGAACCAGTGCTCATGTGGGATGCTGATGCTGCAGGCAGTGGTTTCATCCTAGGCATCCCAACTCCAGCCCTAGATGTCCCATCACTTTTTCCAGGGTTGGGAGGGACCTGGGACCTGGAGTGAGGACCAGGCTTGGGAAGTGCTGAATTTCGGGGGGCTGGGAGGCGGGGAACAGTGTCTTCATGTTTCCTGGCTAATGACTGGATACTTTGGAGCCAGGCCTTGGACACAATGTACCTCACCTGGACTGCATGTTTAGTGAATAGGCAGGGAGTGCTCGGGTGCCTGGGGCAGACTGCTGAGCAGGGAGGTCCCAGTTGGAACCAGGAGTGGGGGTCTGAGTGGGCAGTGACGCGTGGCTGCTCAGGTGTCAGCGAGTTTAATGGGCTGAAGGATTTCCCCCCTGCTCTGCCTGGTGGAACCGGCCGCGCTGTCTCTGTCACAGCTCCTGGCGTGTTTCCTCCTGAGAACTCACTGTGTTCTGTAGTTTTCTCACATGTTTTGTTTCTGGCTTCCTTCTGGACTCTGTGTGGCTTCTCTTGTTCCCTGCTCTTGTGTGGCATCCAGAGAAGACAGTGGAATGAATGAGGAGCAAGCTTCTTGGGTCTTGATCCACTTGGACTCGAAGGTATCAAGGGCCTGGGCACCTGTGTGTGTGGGGCACCAGACCCTGTCTAGGGCTCAGGCCAGGGGTGTGGGAGGGGCATCTGCTGGTTTTGCCAGGGGCTCCTGAATTCCTGAACTGGGGCACAGGAGCCGAAGGGACAGGCTGCAGAGGGGCTTGAGTTGGACTGTCCGGGAGGGCCAGGAGGACAAGGTGGGAGGAAGTGGAGACACAAGGTGAGGTGGTACCCATCTGAGCTCAGAGGAAAACAGCAGGAGAGGAACTCTTGCGAGTTCCCAAGGCAACTCAGCAGGGCTTGTGACCTGCTGGGGACTGGGGACAGGAGGTGGGGACATTGAGGCCTGCGAAGACCCAGTGGGGCAGCAGGTCAGTCAGCCAGCCCGCGTGCCCTGTCCCTTGAGCCTCAGTTCATAAGGGACACCCAGGGGATTCCTCACAGGACCCTGCAGCAGAATAGGTATCTGTCCTGGAGGAGGCGAAGGGAGACCAGCAGCTTTGCAGGAGAAACCCGGGATAGACGAGAGGGTCCTGCGTGGCCCCTCCAGGCTGCACCCACAGCAAAGGCAAGCCGGGGTTCGGATTCGACCCCTCCCTCCAATTAACTGCGGAAGAATTGACTTAGTCCAACAGACAGGCCACGCAGGCGGATGCGACCCAGGCGAGGCAGCTGCGGTGCCGGTGAGTGCTCTGAGTGCTCTAAGCCGGAGCCCCGCGAGTCTGGGTCTCCGAGTTCTCGGGAAGAAGCGGCTTTGGGCAGATCCATTCTCCGGGGGAGGGGACTGTGATGGGGGAGATGGCAGAAACCCTTCATTCTGCATCCCACCCCGCGGAGCCAATGGGGCCCCGGCCTCGCGCTCTGCGCCCAGCCGGCCTTCCCGCGTGCCTTCCGCTCGGTCTGCGCGCGTCCGGATCTCTCCAGCTCCTTCACGGCCACCCCTGTCCCTGCGCGTGGCACGGCCCGGAGGGGCGCCCGCTCTGGGCACAGGTTATAAAGCTGCGGCTGCGGCAGCGAATTGCAGATTCAAGATGCGCCCGAAGGAGCAGGGGCAGGGCTGTGCCGGTGGCAGCGGGCTGGAGTCCGGTCCCGGCTCCGGAAACCCCGCGGCGGTCACTCCCGCACCGTCGTCCAGAGCCGATTCCGCTCCGGAGCCCTCGGCCGGGCCCGAACCCAGCTCTACGCAGGCAGCGGGAGCTGGACCGGGAACCGGATCGCGAGGAGTTGCTGGGTCGCAACCTGGGACCAAGTCTCGATCCCAGCGCCCGGCTGTGTTCTTTGCAGAGCACGGGGATGTGCCCTGGACCCGCTTCATATTCCAAGGGCCCTTCGGCCCCCGGGCCACAGGCCTGGGAAGTGGCAGGGCAGCGGGCATCTGGGAGACGCCAGCCGCCTACATTGGCCGGCGGCCTGGGGTGTCTGGCCCTGAACGCGTCGCTTTCATCCGGGAGCTGCAGGAAGGTAAAGCAGATTTTTGGCGGCGCCCGGGGCAGGTAGGATGAGGGCAGCTTGGGGAGGAGGGGGTCCCGCCCCCCAGGGCTCTCAATCCTCGCGGCCAGCCCTGCTGTTTGGCGCCTCCTCCCCGGCTCTGGCTCCGGGATTGCAGTGGGTGCGTCATGCACGGGCCTGCGCTCCCCCGCCCCTCCGGGTGCCTGTTGCTGCGGCGGATTTTAGCGCTCCCAGAGCCCCCTCCCCGTCTACCGCAGTGCCAAGAGAGGGGCGGGGGTGGCTGCAGGCCTGCACCTGACGCTCTCTGAGCCTGCGCTGGCCCGCGGGAGCCGGAGCTGGCGGGAGGAGGGAAGGGGTATTGCGCAGTTCTGGACTGAGGGGTGGGGAGTGGCCTTGGGGGAAGCTCAGGTCGTGCTTGTGTCCCTCCCCATCTTGCTTCTAGGGTCTAGAGAGATCTCTGAGCTGGGTATATCCGGTTCTGGAGAAGCCCCTCTCTCCCTTCCTCTCCTTGCGCAACAGGTGTAGGGTTTGCAGGGAGCTGTCTGGGTGAGGCGCCACAAGCTGCTCTCACCTGCTGCCTCCGTTCTCCTAGAGTCCCTAGAATCCCAGTTCCTGAGCTTCCGGCACTGCTGCCAACCCCTCAGTTCACCCAGACCCTTTTAAGGGAAAAAGAGGGAGGAGGGAAGAGAGACCTGGAGCCAGCACGTTCAGTTGGCCCTGGGGACAAAGGGTTGGATAGGCACCGGGGCTGGGGGGAGGATGTTGAGGGCAGGAAAGTGGCCCAGGGTCCTCTCTCCACACCCCCACTCCCTTGTGGAGGGAGACCTAGAGAAAGGGTCTGAAACAGAGGGCGGGGGTGGAACTAGCCTTTCTGTTTTCTGACTGCCTGCCTCTCCCCCAGCGCTGTGCCCTGACCTACCCCCACCCAAGAAGATCACCCAAGATGACATCAAAGTGATGCTGTATTTGCTGGAGGAGGTGTGTGTCCCCTTTCCACACAGGCTGGCCCTGAGCCCCCAGTATCCTTTCTGCCCAGTAAGCAGGAGTCAGGTGTGTTTCCCACCTGCCTGGATCTCTGGCAGCCCCGCTGGAGTGGGGAAGGGGTCGTCCTCTGGAAGGTGACAGACCAGGCATGTCCAGCCCAGGGGAACCTTGACTCAGCCTGGTTTAATCTGCTTTTGGTTCCACAAAGGGAATCAGAGTCAGGCTCCATGGTGGGTTAATGGTGGACTGCAAGGTGGGCGTGGGAAGGGTTTCTCCCTGAGGCTCCTGCACCCTGAAGCTTCTCCCACCTGCCTGGGAGAGCCAGGCAGCTGGGAGAGGATTCCCCATGGGTGCTGGTCTCTGTATAGAGAGACAGGGACCTGAACACGGCGGCCCGCATCGGTCAGTCCCTGGTGAAGCAGAACAGTGTTCTGATGGAGGAGAACAGCAAGCTGGAAGCCATGCTGGGCTCAGCCCGGGAGGAGGTAACGCGGTGGGAGAAGGGAGGAGCCTCTGCCTGCTCCACCACCTGCACCTGCCAGCCCCCTGAGTCACAGCTCTCCTGCCAGATTCTACACCTCAGGCAGCAGGTGAACCTGCGAGATGATCTCCTCCAGCTGTACTCAGATTCTGAGGATGAGGATGACGACGAGGAGGATGAAGAGGGAGAGGAGGGACAAGAGGAGGAAGAGGAGGGAGAGGAGGAAGAAGAGGAGGAGTTGGAAGAGGAAGAAGAAGAGGAACCAGAAGAAGAGGCTCGGCGGCATGACCATTCCTACGGCGCCCCCAGGCCGTGCGTGTCCTCCCTTATGCCTGAATCCAGGGTGGCTGGGACCCCAGGACCCCCATGACCTGCAGCCCGACTCCCTCTGTGTGCCTGTAGGCCCCCTCCGGAGGAGCCGCTGCACCACTGCCCGCAGCTGGAGGCGCTGCAGCGGAAGCTGAGGCTGCTGGAGGAGGAGAATGACCAGCTGAGAGAGGAGGTGAGGCCAGGTGGAAGGGTGCGCCCTTTGGGCGGCCGTGGACACGCCCCTGCCCATCCTCTCTCCCACCCTCTAGGCCTCCCACCTGGACACCCTGGAGGATGAGGAGCAGATGCTCATCTTGGAGTGTGTGGAGCAGTTTTGTACGTGATGGGGTGACTCAGGCGGTGGGGGGGGGTGCCCCGGAGCAGGGAGGGGGCACCCAAGTTCCCAGCTCTGGCTCTTCCTAGCTATGGGGGCTTGCACATGCGCTTGGCCTCTGAGCCTTCCTCTGTACCCTGGGGGTTAGACACATCACCTGTGCTGAGATGAAGAGCTCTAGGGTTCCCTTGAAGCCTTCTGTTCCTGTAATTGAAGGCAGTAGAGAGGGAGCCAGGGACTGCAAGAGATCAGGCACCGAGGGCCTGGCAGTGCCCCGGGCACCAGGTGTTTTTCCCTGAGGAGTTCAAATCCACCTGGAAAGGTGCAGGCCAGAGTGGCAGTGGTTGAACTCCTGCTGCCCAATTCACCCTGAACCTGACCTTCCTTCTGTTGGGTTCTGTAGCCACCGGAGTAGGAGTCAGTCCCCAGTTGCTGTTGCTTCTGCTCCCAGGAATAGCTGCAAGTCTCTCTTCCTCTTGGCTCTGGCTGCCTTTGGTGCAGAGCACACCTCAGCTGGCCCCCTTACCAATGTTCTGAGCCTTCTAGAACCTTCTGCCCACAGCCCAGACGGGTCTTCTAAAACCAGATCTGACCACAGCACATCCCTCCTCCCAGTTCCTCCAAGTCGCTTGGCCAAAGGATGGACTCCATGGCCAAGTCTTCATCCAGCCTTTATGATCCTGATCCTGTCTACAAGGTCAACTCACTCTGGGCTGGTTCATGGGGCACCTGTGCCTGTCTTCCCTTCTCTGCCAGTGATCCCGGCTTGGCCGTTCCTCCTTGTGGGAATCCTTGCTTGGAGGTCGATGCCCTTGACCTTCACCCCTGTGTAGAGTGTTATTGTGAGTTCTTGTCTCCAGCTGTTCCCCCATCAGGAGGAATGCTGAGCCCTGCCTGGGAGCTGAGGGGGACACGCAGGAGGGCTGTGGTGGCCTCTGACCTCTGTCCCCTCCCCAGCTGAGGCCAGCCAGCAGATGGCCGAGCTGTCCGAGGTGCTGGTGCTGAGGCTGGAGAACTACGAGCGGCAGCAGAAGGAGATCACGCAGCTGCAGGCCCAGATCGCCAGGCTACAGCAGCGCTGCCAGTCGGTATGCCCAGCGGGCAAGGGGTGTTCTCTCCCATGGCCTGGCCCTCCTCCCTGCCCCTGCCTCGTGGAACTCTGTGTGCTAGTCAGAGTTGGAGGAGACCGTCATGACATGCAGCCTGTTGTTGTCCCAAGGAGGAGGTCTGGGCCCCGGAGAAAGTCCTCCAGGAGCCGGGCTGCCCAGCTCTTCTCCTGTTTTACTTGGCCCTCTTCCCATATGACTTCTGACTTCAGGGCTGCTAAGGACGCACCAATGTGCTTGGGATGCCCTACAGGGGAGCTAGGGTGCCCACAGGTGATGTAGGTCTTCAGTGGGGACTTACCGGTTTGGGGACTTACCGGTATGGGTCCTTCCAGTATGGGGTGGAGACCGAGAAGTGGCAGCAGTATTCGGCTTCGGAGAAAGAAATCCAGATGCAACTCCAGGAAGAGGTGAGGCTGCCCATGGGTCCCTGCCCCTGCCCTTGGTGGCCGCTATCCCCCATCCCCAGTGTGGGGAATGACCTAAGGCTCTTGGCAGTTGCACCTGACTCTCCTTAGAGGACAAGCAGCTTGCAGCACGGACTGGGTCTTGTCACCCCCACCTTTTTTGGGGGTTGGTTTTGTCCCTTTCTGTCCCCTCTATGTCTGGCTCAGGGCTCAGCAGGTGGCAGTCAGATGACATCTGATTGGCGTGGATGGCAGGGCCCCGCCTGGGTCATTCTCTGTGTCATTGTTTGGGCCTAGAGTCTGGGTGTCTTATTAGCCTTTCAGCCTAGGACCAGGGTGGGCAGGAATGATGGGCTGGACACATGTGGGTCCCACATCTGCAGGACGTGCGGGACAAGTACTCAGACAGCAAGGTCATGTGCCAGGAGGAGACGAAGACCCTCCATGAGCAGCCTCCGATGTCCACTGGCTCTGTCAGCCACTTTGCGTACAGCCTGCCTCTGGTGAGGAGCTGCCCCGGGGCTCAGCCCTGCCACCTGCACTTTGTCCCCAGGTGCTGCCCGGGCCTCGGGGTATGAATGGTGGTGGGGTAGGGTCTTCTGGTAAAGTGTCCCCTTGTCTGCCACAGGGGGTGCTTTCTGGCCTCCCAGCAGCCCTGGTTAATGAGCTTAAAATCTCTATTGGGAAGATGGTTTCACACCCCACCTATTTCACAAACAGGTATGTCACAGGGACCCAAGACCCTTACCTGATCTTTAGCCATGTCTGCCCGTGGGGAAGGGGGTTGGAGCTCATGCTGTGACACCCCACCTGCCTCATTCCCTCTCTCAGCCCCTCCCATATTCACATGGTGTGGGAACTATCATTTTGAGGGGAGTGGGGCAAGGATTTCGTAGTTTTTTTTCCACCGGGACTTTTTGGCTAGATTGGACCCTAGTGAGTTTGTGGTTTTCATCTTGCATTGCCTCTGTGCCCACTCTGCTTTGTTGCAGGAGGTATGGCATGCCCAGAGGGAAGACACCAAACCAGGGCTGAACTGGCCAGGGTCCCTTACATCACTGCCTATAGCCAGACGGCCACCTGCAGCTGGCTGTGCAACTGTAGGACCCTGGAGCAGGCCCTGCACTGTCCCAGGAGAAAACCACTCCCTTTTCCTTGGAAGCTAGTCCTTGGAAGCTGTCTGCCTCGGTGGGGACTACAGCTTCCAACCAGGGGCTGAGAAGGAAATAAACCTAGATATTTCCCAGGCATTGGGAACATCTGGGATTGAGGCCCCATCTTGGCTGGCTGGAGGTCCATGACCAAGTCCACAGCCAATGTGTTGACCTGTCTGAGCCTTGCTTAGTCGGATGGATTTGTTCCCATGGCAACCAGCTGTGGAATGGGTTGTGAAGGTTGAGATGCAAAGGAGGAAGTCAGAGGGATTTTTTTTTTTAGCCCTGCTGGGCTCTTTGGAAGGCCAGGCTGTGTTGGTGGCTGTTCTTCCTTTCTCTTGTGGCCATTGGCTGGGTGTTGGAAGACTTGAAGTTGGGGGTTCAGTTCCCCATTCCATGGCTGAAGGCAAAACTGGGAAGAAACTACAAAGGGTATGAGTAAGGACCGGGGCAGGGTTGGTAGAGGCTGGGATGGAGTGGGCTGGTAGGGGGACTTTCCTCCTCAGATACCCAGAGGCAGGTGTCTGGGGGGAGGGGTGCGGGTGAGGGAGGGGTGAGGGCAGGATGGGTATGAGCTCCAGCAGGGGCCTGCAATGACCTGACCGGGTCCCGACTAAGAATGGACCCTGTGTTACAGGGAGCAGCGAGCACAGGCACGGGGTTACCAGGCCGAAGAGGAGGAGGAGGAGGAAGAAGATGAGGAGGAAGACGGGGAGGAGGAGGAAGAGGTGGCAGAGCAGGAGGCCGTGCCTGTGGATTTCGAGCCCGTGGAGGAACTGGGGGCAGCAGAGGAGGTGGGGCCCTCTGAGGAAGGGGCGGCCCAAGAGGCAGAACTGGTGTCTGAGGAGGTGGAGGCCTGGGAGGAGGTAGAGCCGGAGCTGGATGAGGCCACACGCATGAATGTGGTGATCTCGGCTCTGGAGGCCAGCGGCCTGGGTCCTTCGCACCTGGACATGAAGTATATCCTCCAGCAACTGGCCAGCTGGCAGGATGAGCACTACAGGCGGCAGCAAAAGCAGAAGGTGCCTCCGCAAGGTGAGTGCTCCAGCAGGGGCCTCCCTCCTTCTAGCCGGACCAGCTGCAGATCTTCAAGCCGATAAGAGGGGAGGGGAATGAGTCCCCTAGTATGCGCTTACCCTAGCCTAACCCTGCCCAGGGTGCTTATTTGCATGGGATTTGCATATCATTTGCATAGGCGCCTCCACACTGGGACCCAGTACTCCTTCCTGTGAAATTTGCGTAAGAGTCCAGCTCTCCACCCACTTTGCTTGCTGGGGCTGGACTGGGGGTCAGGGCTGGAACTGTCTCTCCTAAGTCCAGCTCTCCACCCACTTTGCTTGCTGGGGCTGGACTGGGGGTCAGGGCTGGAACTGTCTCTCCTACACCGAACCTCAGCCTTCTGTCTCTGTCCGCCCCCTCCCACTCTCCTCCAACCCCCACCTTCCTTATTCCCCAAGGCTCCCCAACGCTGCAACAATGGCAGCAGCAAGCCACAGCAGGCATGGGGGGTGGGATTGTGTAACAGTGGCCCAAGGTACCAACCCAGGACTTGCAGAGGCTGTAAGAGGACAGGGCTGGCTACCCTCCCTGGCCTTAGGCCATTGGCAACAAGGCCCCTGCCAGCCAGGGCCATAATTGGACCAGTCTCCTGGGTGAGTCTGAAGGTGGGCGAGAGTCTCCTGCATGTGGGAGGTGGGTTAAGTCTTCTCTCCATAGTGGGGACCTCCAGCGTCTGGGGGCTGCACCTGCTGGACGTAGGAGCTCATGGTGGTGTCCAAGGTGGCCAACAGGTGGCTCCTTTTCCCATCATTAGTTCTTCCCACCCTCCTCACAGCTGTGTCGGTAGGTGTCATTGTGGGTAGACTGGGATTCAGAGAGCTGCTTTATTACATGTGGGCAGCTTCCTTCAGCCCTGGCTTGCCTCAGTGCTGAGGGCCCTGTGGTCCCCACTGAATTTGGAAGAATGCTGGCCTCAGTGGGGCTTCAGTCAACAGAACCAGGACTCCATGGCTGGGCAGTGGGCCAGCTTCTGACCATCAGTGCTGGCTGCCCAGGCCAGGCTTGTGGTTGCTGGGTCCCCTCCATTTACACCTACCCCCCTTTTTTTCCAGGCTTTGCCTTTTCCAGCAACCTATATAGGCACCCCTCCCCCGAACCCCACAGCCTGAAGTCTGTTTTTCCTTTGCCTGGTTGAGCCCCTCCTTCCCTAGGCCCTCCGTGTCCCTCTTTGGAAACAGCCCCGTGTCTGTCCACAGCATACCCTCTGCCATGATGGGGCTGGAGCTGGAGGGTCCAGAGACCCCCAAGTCGGACCAGGTTGAAGAAAGCCCCGCCCTCTTTCTGCTGCAGGTGCAGAAACTGTGGCTGCTTGGCCTGGGTCCTGTGGTGGTCTCTGGGAGTGGAAGAAGCCCTAGGGAAAGCCTGCTGGGTACGAGACCCAGTTCTGAGGGCAGAGAAGGCTTAAATCAAGGGCTAGGGAGTTGCTGGGGATCCCCTCCTGAGGACAGGGTCTCCACCTCCTGGGTCCGCACATGCAATGTGGCTCCCAAGTCCTTGTCCCCTTCTAGGAAGCTGACCCTTACCCTGATTCTTTGTCCTTCCTGCTGAGGCCCCATTGCTGGCTCTTTGTATTCAGAATGTCTGTGTCAGGGGCGAGGGGCCCTCTGCCCAGTGGTGTGTTTCCCCCCTCCAGTTGCCAGCTTGTGGCCCTTGAGTGTCCAAGCTCCTGCTATCCTCCCTTGGTGGCCATGGCTTCCCCATTCTAGATGTTCCTTTTGCCATCTCTTTGCTCGTAAATAGCTGGGCTCCGGGCCTGGGTGGGGGTGGGGTCCCTCACTGCACTGTTCATCCCCCTGCCGTTTGTCCGTGTACGTGTTGGTGCAGGAAATAAAGGATTTGTGTGCTGTCTGGCCCCTTTCCTAGCCTTGTTTCTCAGGGAGCGTGAGAACCTGTGTGTATGTGTGTGTGTGTGTGTGCGCGCGTGCGCACGCATGTGACTTCAGACATTTAGGAAATACACTGCAGAATCACATCAACAGCCCCCTGGGGGGATGATAAGTGTCAGACAAACAAACTGAGGCCTGGGCAGGTGATGAGGTCCCTGGAGAGCTGGGATTAGAGAGCCTGGCGTGGATAGGCTCCTCTCCCTGATTTTTCTGTCCTGGAGACTGGGAGAGCAGAGAGGGAGTGAGTGGTCACCCCCTGCCTGGGCTGAGAGCCCCTAGGCACAGAGCTGAAGCAGGGCTTGGGCACTAGGAGTTTTGGAAGATTTGGAAGTATTTGGAAGATGAGGCGCTTGGTGTGATGGTTCAATTGGCTAATCCTCCCCTTGCGAGCACCCGGATTCCATATGGAAGCTGGTTCGTGTCCTGGCTATTTCAGTTTCCATACAGCTCCCTGCTTGTGGCCTGGGAAAGCAGTGTAGTTTGGAACAAAGTCCTGGAACCCTGCACCTGCCTGGGAGACCCAGAAGAAACTCCTGGCTCCTGGCTTCAGATTGGCTCAGCTTTAGCTGTTGCAACCACTTGGGGAGTGAACCAGAGGACGGAAGATCTTTCTATCTCTCTTTCTCTCTGTAAATCTGCCTTCCAATGAAAAAAATAAATACGTATATTTTAAAAAGTCAGGTTGCTTAAAAATATATGTATTTGGAAAATGACTGCAGGCAGCAGTTGCAGGGGGCATGGGGAGTGTGGTCAGAGGAAGTCAGCTGCTGTTTGGGGCACTTGGGGGCAGTGTCTCCCTTGGATCTGTGGAGTTGCCACACCACCGGGAGCTTCTCAGCTGTGTGGTGCCCCTGATGCCCCGGGTCTCAGCCCAGACCTCCAGTGTTGCACCTGCAGGCTCCCTCTGTCCCCAGGGAAACTCACGTGGGAGGTACAGGCTGAGACACACTGATACGGAACCTGCAGAACCAGCTCAGCCAACCCGTGTGACAGTTCACTGTTGCTGCTGGCTGTGCCTGGGGCATCCACGCTTCTGGTCCCCTTCCCCCAATCCAGGCTGGACAGAGGACAAGCCCTTCAAATCCGGCCTAGGGTGCAACGGGCTGAGCAGAGGATATGGCCAAGGCACTGGCAGCATCTGCCACTTCCGTACCTGTACCCCTTATGCCAACTGGAGCTCTGTGTGTGCTTCACTCTGAGCTGGCATTGCTCTTTTAAGAGGGTAGCCAGTCACAGTTCCTTTTTAAGAAAGATTTATTCATTTTTACTACAAAGTCATATATATATATATATAGAGAGAGAGAGAGAGAGAGAGAGGTGAGGAGAGACAGATAGGAAGATCGTCTGTCCAATGATTCACTCCCCAAGTGACCACAATGGCCAGAGCTGCGCTGATCCAAAGCCAGGATCCAGGAGCTCTTCCAGGTCTCCCATGCAGTTTCAGGGTCCCAGGGCTTTGGGCTGTCCTCGACTGCTTTCCCAGAGCACAAGCAGGGAGCTGGATGGGAAGTGGAGCTGCGGGATTAGGACTGGCGCCCATATGGGATCCTGGCGCATCCAAGGTGAGGCCTTTAGCCACTAGGCTGCCGTGCCGGACCCCAGTTACAATATCTTAAAACAGCGTTGAAAGGTGAATGTCCAGCGCTGCCATTGGCCTGAGAGCTCTAAGAGATACTTAGGATCTTTGCCACCCAGCCTGTATTGCCCCTCCTCCTTGACCAGCACCGCAGCTGGTCCAGGTTCCTCTCTTGGGGCAGTGATCTAGACCTTCACTCCTGAAGGAACCTGAGCTCTCCATTCCCTGCCCTTGTCAGGCTGTGGCCACTGCCCTGACCTGTCGGCAACATGGAGTCTGGAAGTACCAAGAGGCTTCCCCACAGAGAGACATGGCCCATCCTGCTCCAGTGTGAGGCAGTGACCTTAACTTCCCTGTGATCAGTAGCCTCTGAGGGCCCTTGGCCTTGCGCTGTGTGTTGGTCTGTGGTGTGAAAAGCTAAACATTAGTCCATTTCCAATCGAGTTTCCTGCTAATGCACACCCGGGGGAGGGGCGGGGGTAGCAGAACATGGTCCCTGCTTACCCGTGTAGGGAGAGCTGGATGCAGCTCCTGGCTTTCGCCTGGCCTTGGTCCTGGTTGTTATGGGCCATGTGAAGAGTAAACTAGATACCGGAAGAATCTCTCTCTCTCTGTCTCTCTGCTTCATCCATTTGGCAAAGATTTGCAGGGTTTTCCCCGTTCTTGTCACTGGGGATTCAGCAGGGAGGGGAATGTGAGCTCCATCTCCTGGAGTTCAAGCCCCTGGACATTTTTCCTTCTAACCAGACTGGTAGACAGTCAGCTGGCGAGAAAGCTGACCACAGGCTGTGTGATATTGCTGGGCCAGAGACCAGCAGAAGCCCAAAGGGAGGGTGTCTACAGAAGAGACCCCTTCATTGGGACCCAAAGAGCGAAAGGATAGCCCCCCATGACCCTGCCTAGCGGGAGAAACATTTAGGCAGAGGGACAGTGAGAACCCAGCTGTTGGGCGGAAGAACTGTTCTGTAGCGCAGAGGAAGAAGAGGAGGCTGAACGGGCCATGAGGCAGGGGATGTGAACGGCGGGCCAGCTCTCCTGCTTGAGCAGGAAGCTGAGATGTAACTCAAGTGCAGCAGGAAGCGGGGGAAGTTTCAGACTGTGGGGATGCGATCTGATGTCTTTTGAAAAGGTCACTGTTGGGATGGGCAGTTAGCCAACTGTAAGACATCCCAGCCCAGCTTGGAATACCTGTTGCTTGACCCTGGCTTCCAACTTCAACCTCCTGCTAGTACGAGCCCTAGGAGGCAGCAGTGGTAACTGAAGTCCTGGGCTCCTGGCTAACCCGGCGAGAGACGTGGACTGTGATCCTGGCTCCTGTCTTGGACCCAGCCCCAAATATTGGAGGTGCTTACAGTGAGAACCAGCAGATGGGAGCTTTGTGCATGCGTTATGTGCGTGAATGCACGTGTGTGTGTGTGTGTGTGTGTGTGTCCATCCATCAGACTAATTCATTAGAGGCCTTACTCGGGCTATGCCTCCCACTACCTGCTCTCCCACCCACACATATGAATTCTTGCTCAGTGTTGCGCTTTGGGACACCAGGAAGAATATGCTATGGTCCCTGCCTGCTACGGTGCTCAATTCTCTTTTTTGCCTTAATTTTTCCTCTGTGGCAAGCTCCCCACCCCATTCCACACACTTGACACAAGGCAGCGATCCACAGTGAGCTGGTTTATTCTGGGTGGCCTGGGACAGGGCCTGGGGCAGGGGGCAGGCAGCAGGTGGCCTGGCCCCGCAGTTTGCTTCTAAGGATGCTGCTCCACTTCCTCTGCGCTGCGGCGGCCGAAGTCCATCCAGCCATAAGCCTCCTCCTCTTCCTGCAGCCAGGGTCCCTGCTTCTTGGACAGGTCTGAGGAGGTGAGGGACATGGTAACCTCTAGGACCCAGGCCACAGTTGTGGCCCGTCCTGGATGGGAGGGTGGCCCACCTGCTCCTACCTGGCACGAGGTGAGCGGCAGCTGGAGGCTCCAGCTGCCTTCGGTGGTAAGTCGCTGAACCCTGCTGATCTAGCCAACGTGGCTCCAGACCCCTGTGGGCCGCCAGTCCTGAGAGTGCATCCTGCAGCTGGGAGTGAGGCCTCCAAGAAGCATGGCAGAAGGCAGCCAGGGCCAGCACCAAGACCAGCACGGACACGCACGGCTGTGTCATCTTGTCTGCAAAGCAGATGGGAGCTGGAGCTTGGGGCTGTACCACATGGACACAGCCAGGTCTTCAATTCTGTCGGGGGTCATGCCATGCAGTTCCTGTCCCCAAGCCTTGCCTCTTTCTTCCCCTCCCCCCCCGCCCTCCCTCCCCTCACTACCTCAATCACAAACACTACTTCTGAAAAGTGTAAAACCTAATGGGATGGGCACTCCATGTAACACTGAAACTCTGGTTGGGGTCTCAAGTTGGGGTATCTGTATGAGTCCCAGTTCTGCTCCCAATTCCAGCTTTCTGGCCAGGCTGAACTTGGGAATGAAGAGGCAATGTCTCAAGCACTTCACTTCTTGTCTCCCAAGTGGGAGACCGTAACTAAGTTCTCCATTCCAGGCTTGGTCATTTTGTGCATTTGAGGAGGAACTCAGTGGATGAGAAGTCTCTCAAATAAATAAAAACTAAAAAAACAAAAAAAAAAAACAAAAAAAAAAACAAAGCCCATAGCTGCTCTGCAGAACCTGCGGCTCTTTCAGTGGCGCTGTAGGTGTTCCCAGCTTGGAACTACAAGTGAACCTGAAAACAGCACTTGAAAGGACATATGGGGCTGATGTTGTGGTGCAGTGGGTTAAATGGCTGGCTGTGATGCCAGCATGCCATATGACCAGTTCAAACTCTGGCTGCTCTGCTTCCCATCCAGCTCCCTGCTAACGCACTTGAAAAGGCAGAAGAAGTTGGCCCAAGTCCTTTGGGCCCCTGCCCCAACATGGAGACCTGGAGTTCCAGGTTCCTAACTTTGGCCTGATCAAGTCCAAGCTAGTTGCAGTCACTTGGAGATGAGCCAGTGGATGGAAGAGCTCTCTTTCTCTCCATCGCCCCATAACTGTGCCTTTCATATATATAAAGAAATCCTTTTAAAAAATCCTTAAAAAAAAAAAAATAAAGGCACTGTGACCTTAGAGCCACCAATATACCTGGTGGGTGGCCACTTGGGCTGTTTTGTGCAGCCCTGGGATAAAGGCTGTCCTGTCATTTCTGCCTGACAGAGGTGTGGCCTGTGACTGCGGCCCTGTTTACTGCTCTGTGTGGGGTGACCAAGCATGGAAAGGAAGGAATGCAGACCTCACGGGAGGTCAGAGCTGAGTGGTGTTCAGAGCTGCCTGTTCTCCGGAGTCTGCCTGGTTTCACCAGACATAAAGGGTGCACAGCACCCCTTCTGAGGACACATCTGTGTTAAAAATACTGTGTCCAGGGGCCTCTTGGCACCAGCATCCCATAGGGTCCCAACTGCTCCACTTCTGATCCAACTTCCTACTAATGGCCTAGGAAAACAGCAGAGGCTGCCCCAAGTTCTTGGGCCTCTGCAACTACGTGTGAGACCTGGAGCCCTGGGCTGCTGTCCCAGCCTTGACCAATAATTTGGATGATTTTAAGGACCCTGAGTTATGTGCATTGCATTAAGTCTCTGCTTGCATCACTGGCATTCCAAACGGATGCTAGTTCAAGATTGGCTGCTCCATTTGCCACTCAGCTCCCTGCTCATGTGCAGGGCCCCTGCCACCCACATGGCAGACCTGGATAGAATTCCAAGCTCCTGTTACCAGCCTGGCCCAGCTCTGGCCAACGCTGCCATTTGAGGTTGAACAAGCAGATGGAGGATTTATTTCTCTAATTCTGCCTTTCAAATAAAATCAATAAGTATTTTAAAAAGAATTGTGTGACTTTGGGCAAGTCACAGTTGCCTTCTGAGTCTCAGTTTCCTTGTCTGAGAGATGGGAGAGGAGTGGAGTCAGAGGGGCAGGGCAGGGCGCAGGGGGAAGCAGAGGGCAGGTACTAGGCAAGGGCTGGGAATGCCTCTTGGAGGAAGGACCCGGGTCATAGACCTGAGACCTAGTTTCACCCTGGCCCAAGGGAAGGGACTTGGTTCTGGGGCCACCAAGTCCTGCCCTAGGACTCTGGCTAGTCATCCAATACCTTCATCGGGGGGCCTGTACCTCCTCTTCCCAGCTTCTCCCACCCCTCCCGGGTACTCTCACCTGTGCAGCTGGGTACTCTCACCTGTGCAGCTGGGTACTCTCACCTGTGCAGCTGGGTAGTGGGCAGTGTGGTGGTGGCTGGGTCAGCTCTCTGCTTTGCTGGCCACTCTGGATCTGCCTTATAAACATTCCAGGTCCCTCCCAAGCCCGCCCCACTCATGAGGTCAGACACAGATGTAACTCATTCCCCAGCCCTCCCCCTCCATTCAGTGTCAGCAAGGTGGGGGCTACGGAAGAAGGGGGATCGACTTTCACAGTGTCGGGGGGGGGGGGCAGGGTGGGGACAGCTCCTTGACTGGGCATGAAAGGGCAGACACAAGACAAGTTTCCCAGGGTCAGGAACAGCATCTCCATACCTGTGAGGGTCAGAGGTCTGGGTCTACATACCAGGGTGGGGTGCATGAGGGGAGCGAATCGAATAACCCAGACTCTGCAGGTGCATTCTACCCTAGGGTGGTGTTTGATGAGCAGGGAGTGATGTATTGATCCCCTGTCGCCTCTCTGATCTAGCAAACAGGATGTGTTGCTGTTATCGGGGGTAATGGGCTATGCACTGATAGTCCTGATCTTCTGCCGATGGACTCACCTCCAGGTCACCCCCAACTCCCCCTGCTTCCCTTTCTCTGCCTCCCTCTGTACAGAACATTGGCCTTAGGTCTGCTGCCCAGCATTCACTTCCTTGCAAACCCACTGTTCAGAGCCGGTGACTCCCAGGGTCTTGGGTGTTGAGATTTCCTTATTCTGAAGTCAATGGCAGAGGAGTAGGCATACAGACTGGCATTGTGGCACTCAGGTTAAACTGCCACCTGTGACATGATGTCGGAGTCCCATATGGCAGCTGGTTTGAGTCTCGGCTGCTCCATTTCAGTCCAACTTCTTGCCAATGTGCCTGGGAAAGCAGTGAAGATGGTCTCCACTAGGGTCCCTGCACACATATTGGGTGAGCTGGATGGAGTTTCTGGCTCCTGGCTTCAGTCTGATCTAATTCTGGTCATTGGAGCCATTTGGGAAGTAAGCCAATGGATAGAAAATCTCTTACTTTCTGTCTCCATCTTTCTCTGTAACTCTGCCTTCCGCATAATTTTTTAAAAATAACACATCACAAATTTTCAATAGAAGAGACATCTTAAATGGCTAGCACACAGGGTACAGCTGTTCCAGAAAACAGAATGCTATTCATGCTGATTTATTTGATCAAGGGCTGTCTCAACATGGATGGAGGTAATGAGCTTTAGGCTGTTCTTGAACATTCCATGGTTGAGACAAGACATTTTGCCCTTGGACATGCGTCATCAGGGCCCTCTCCTTGTCTGGGGGTGTTTTGATGCCCCTTGGGTCTTGGATATAGGAGCGGTACCCACGCTCACAGCCAGAATTATTGAAAATTCACTGGTTAGAAAGGATGCAGGCAGCGAGGTGTCCATGGCAACCGGTGGGCAAATGTTCTTGTGAATAACTACTCCAACCTGGAGCAGGACACGGTGACTCAGCAGGCGGAAGAGATGAAAGTGACAGAGCCAGTGCTGGTGATAATTAATTGCATTGCAGCATCTCAGCGATGGAAGACTTGGCGGGGGGTGGGGGGACTGCTAGGAAGAGATGGCGACATCTGTGTTGCTACGGTCAAGGGCCATGTTGAGCTTTCAGCAGTGCCTTTGTTGTGCCAGGGCTCACAACTTGGTCCTTGCCCCCGGGCCAGCTGCAGAAGGCATGGCAGCTTCACCAACCAGAAGCTCACCTCCTCCCTGGGCTCTGGGGGCTGGGACATTCGTGTTCTGGGAAGAGAGAAGCAGCCTGCACTCCAGGGGCCCACAGTCGTGGGAACTGCTAGGAGGGAAGGGTTCCCTGCTCCAGCACTTGAATCTTGGGCCAAACCCTCCTCCCTCTGAGCTACTTCCTCCTGCAGGAAAAGAAGAGGAAGAACCAGCTGGAGGGCTTCCTGTGCCCAGCAGCTGGCATAGGTGATGTTTCTAGAGTACTGTGCACAGCACCCAGCAATCCAGCCACGTTACTCGCTTGGCACCTTTTCTCCTGCCATCTCTGCCTCTCAGAAACCTCATTTGTGAAATGGAACCTCTCCTTCCTTCCTCACAGTCTGCCAGCAGGACCAAGTGTCACACAATCTGGACACAGGGCAGAAGCGAGGCCTCCCAGAGGCCTTCACCTACTGGGGCACAGGGTTATTTTTTTTTTAAAGATTTATTTTTATTATAAAGTCAGATTTATAGAGAGAAGGAGAAAGGTCTTCCGTCTGCTGATTCACTCCCCAAGTGACCACAACGGTTGGAGCTAAGCCAATCTGAAGCTAGGGTCCAGAAACTTCTTTTGGGTCTCCCACGTGGGTGCAGGGTCCCAAGGCTTTGGACTGAACCTGACTGCTTCCCCAGGCCACAAGCAGGGAGCTGGGTGGGAAGGGAAGCAGCCGGGACAAAAACCAGGGCCCACAGGGGGGATGCTGGTGCTACAGGGTGGAGGATTAGCTTGTTAAACTATCTCACTGGGCCCCACTTGCAGACTTTTAAATAGTTATTCCTGGATTAGCTGACTGGGCTTGATCGAACCACACAATCCCTCAAATAAGAACTGGCTTCAGCTTGAGGACGAACTAGGAATCTGAAGTCACGCGAGCACTCCCTGGGCTGGCTGGGAGAGGGAGCAGGACAGCAAGACATTCAGAAGGTCTTGGGCAGGGCCTGGCATGATGGCTCAATGGCTCAATCCTCACCTTGCAAGTGCCAGGATCCCATATGGGCACCGGTTTGTATCCCTGTTCAGATCCCTGCTCGGATCCATCCAGAATGTCCAGTAGGGACACAGCCCTGCTGATACTTTGATTTTGACCTTGGGAGACTCAGCAGAGGGCCTGGTGAGCCATACCTTGCTTGAATGTCTGTCCAGGGAATCAGTGTGTGTTACTCTAGGTAGTAATTCCTTTCACTAGCAAGGAAAAACCGCCACAGGGCTGCAGCTACCAGG